TGAGTTGCTCTGGTAACTTCCCCCCTCCCCAAATACTGTAAATGTTTCCACCATCTGTCTTGAATATGGCTGCTCCAACTCATTCAAGACTTGTGTGCAACTTGGGGGTCCTCCTGAACTCAGTTATTGCTGAATCTATTGGCCTTTATACAAGGTACATCTTGTGCTCCAAATGTGCCCTTTCCTTGACCAGGAGGCCCTGCAGATAGTCACTCATAGTATGGTAACCTCACTACTGGACTACTGCAATGTGCTTTACATGAGGTTGCCTTGAAGAACATCTGAAAGCTGCAGCCGATTCAAAATACACCAGTGCAAAGAATAATGGACACTTCTCATTGTGCCCATGTGTTACACTGCTACATGAGCTGCATTGACTACCAGCTGGCATCTAGGTGCATTGCAAGATGCTGATTGTTACCTTTAAAGGCTTTCATGGCATAGGACTTTATTATCTGAGGGACCCCTTTTTCTGATTTGGGCAAAATAGATGTACTCTAAGTCCCTTTTATTAAATGTTGCCATCTTGTGGGACCTAGGAAGTGTGCCTTCTCTGTGGCAGCCCCTATACTATATTTTCCTTAACATTTCTTCTCAGTTTTCTGAATATCTTATCCATTCCAAATTGTGCAAATGCAAATTTAATTTGCAAGTTGTATGCATATTGCTGGAATTTTCCGTGGTGCATACTTTATGCCCACCTTGCCTCACCTATATCTGGAAAGCATTCCCTCAGAGGTACAAAGGGCACTCACTCTCCTGGGATTCTGAAATGGTCTTAAAACCTGGCTTTCAGCCCAGGCCACACTATACAGTATTTGGGGGCACTGTGTCACTTTATGTTTTGAAGGCTCTTTTTAGTTTGGGCTGTTTAAATCTTCTAATTGTATTAACTTGGTATTAAATTTTATGTGCTGCCCAAAATCTGTTGGAGTGGGCAGCTAGAATAAATGTAATAAAATGAAATGAAATAATCAAACTACACTATTTCTCAAGAAGAACGCTCATTCTTTATTTTACAAAAAATGTCACTAGTGTGAGATTATTAATTTCCTATTAACCCTCATATGTCCTGACACTACAGGACAATATAAGTTGAATTATTAAAACTGTGTTTCCCTATAATCACAAATATATTTCCTAAATTTCACGCCATGCCTTCACAATCCTACCCTTGCAGATTTCTTTTACCCATTTGATTTCTTCATAGTCATCAAACTCTCCTGGGACCAAGTAGGACTGGTAAAGAGCATCAAAATTGGAATAATTAATCTTGACTTAACAATTCCTTTGTTTCAGTGGATAAAACACTCGTGGCATATCATACTGGGAGATTTGCTGTGATTACCAGTTTTCCAGAATCACTTCAAAGCCTTGAATCTACATTGATTTCATTTTGGCTATCCAAGAGATTGCCTGTCTCATTATGAACTAGCCTAATTGCTACTTAAAGAGAGGCCCTTTTAAGGACATACTCATTGCAAAGACCCAATTTCTCAACAAACACATTTCAGAGGAGTTATGTCTTCTGGCCTGATACTTAAAAAGCAAGACAGTCTGTACTAATTATCAAAGGTGCAAATCAGAAACAGCAACCACAGAACAAAATTTCTATACCATTCCACATGTTCCTCACTTAGAGATGGGTCTTAGGAACAAATGTTAAGTAGCCATGAGATATGCAAAACTGGTAAAATCTGCTGGGGCAAGAATTTGTTCTTCTCCAGACTAATTTTTCTCTGTTGAGTCATTGATTTGAAGACCTGTTCAGTTTCACTCACAGTTGTAACAGAGTAACTGACATGCTATGACAAGGTGAGCATAATGTATGTACCATGGAAAATTCCAGCAATATGCATACAACTTGCAGATTAAATTTGCATTTGCACAATTTGGAATGGATAGATATTCAGAAAATCAAGAAGAAATGTTAAGAAAAATATATTCTAGCATATAGGCTCTAACACATGCTGAAATCATCTATATATTGCTTGGGAAAGCTAATGGACAGACATAGTTCTTAGTGCCACTAGATCCAATCTGACTTGTTATTGTTTTAATTAAAAATAGTGGAAAATTGGTATGCTGTATCATCTTGCAGTTTCATCTTTATTTTAAAAAAAGCCTGTGGTCTTCAAATGAATACAATAAACTTTCTTATAAAATATAAATGGGGGGGGGAAATAATCTAAAGCTTTAAAGAATCCCATATGCTCAGAAAATTAAGTAAGCAGGGCACTCCTGTTAAGAGAAGAGAAGAGAATTAGATTGTGATAAATCCAGGGCTTTTTTTCTGCCGGAACGCGGCGGAACGGCGTTCCGGCACCTTTTTCCGGGCCGGCCGCACCGGAAATAGCCCCTCCCAAACCGGAAATAGCCCCTCCCAAATTTTACTTGCATATTTTTTCTAAAGGGGCGGGCCTAGGGTTTGATGGGGGCGTGGCCAGGTTTGAGTTCCGCCACCTTTTCGCTGAGAAA